AACCCTAAGCCCCTAAATGCTAAACCCCCAAACCCTAAACCCTGAGCCCTAAACCCCTAAGCCCCAAACCCTAAGCCCTGAACCCTGAACACTGAGCCCTAAACCCTGAACCCTAAAACCCTAAGCCCCTAAACCCCTAAACCCTGAACCCTATAAGCCCGAAACCCTGAACCCTGAACCCCTCAATCCCTAAACCCTAAACCCTAAACCCTGAAGCTAAGATAACCTCATCAACAGGAACCCTCGGACTTCTTAAATCACAGGAGAAACGGCAACCTCCTGGCCAGGGTGTCTGACGACCTGAGCCATGGTTCAGGTGCCTTAAGGCTTAAGGCATTGTTTGTTTGACAAAAACAAGGGTTGAGGTTTAATAGGGCTTTTTAGGTTTAGGGTACCTAAAGACATGAGTTTTTGGGATTTAGGGTTCAGGATTTAGGGTTTAGGGTTTAGGGTGCCTCAGGACTGGGTTTGGGGGGCTTAAGATGTACAGGGCTGACGGTTCGAGTAAACCCGAGGAGCCAATAGCCATGCTACTTCCTATACCGGTGTTAGGGGCTTGTAGAAGCAGCCCGAACAATAGGCATTTTTGTTCGGGATTGAGGTGGGGTTTAGCGTGCGAGGTCCTTAGCATGAGGGAAGGCGTGAAGCTGCAACGCCAGTTTATAATGAGCTGGGGCCTTATGGGGCTTTTAAACCTAGGACATTTTCAGGTGGGTAGTTACCGTTATAGGAGCCTTATAGAAGGTCTATATACCTTATAGAAGCCCACCTGTAGTTTCCTTTAATTAAAACGGGGTTCAAGATTCAGGCTGAGGGCTCGGAGTTTCTGATGTGTCTCTGATCGTTTGAGGCTGCTGTAGAATAATTCGGTAGGACTCACATTTCAATGGAGGCTTCCTACGAATGTTGATAGATCGTCCTCGTAGCTGCTCAGACGGATGGAGTATTGCAGGAAGTACATGCGACGGCGCAGCCCTTGAAACTAAGGAAGGCAGATCGTGAGATCGTCACTGCTGCCATTGAGCAGTGCCCAGGCGGCATTCCAGAAAGCTTGCTCCCAAACTTAGCCCTGCAACCCGTATAGCTCAAGAAATCTCATGCACGTTTCTGTTTGTTGTAACTTTGTTCTCAACAGTTTGCCATGTAAGTCTTGTGCATTGCTTAAATATCTTGACAACATTCCCGAAATCAAGATTATGAGGAGGGGTCGGAATCATTTAGTCGTTACCCTACCTTGAACTACCATAACCTACTTTTTTGTAGGTCCTTATTACAAACCCTAGTATCGAATTTATAGGGACCCTACAAAAAAGTAGGTTTTGGTAGTTTAAGGTATCATTTTGTGGGAGCCCTCTGCAGTTACCGCAGACCGGCATCAGTCAACCCTCCACCTGCAAAGTGATTCCTGATCCGTAAAGCCCTACCTTAAGAACCCAAAACCTACTTTTTTTGTAGGGTCCCGATAAATCCCATATTAGGGTTTATAATAAGCACCTACAAAAAAGTGGGTTTGGGGTTCTGAAGGTATACGCCACGAATCCCATGAACTTTACGCCTACACCCTTTTGGAAAACATCTCGAATCCTTGTTGCAAATCTCTTATAATGGAACCCTCAATATATAGGTTTGTAACTTAGTAGAAATACGCAGCTGTTATCATATAACCGTGTTTGTAAAACCCGTATTATAATACGCTCATCCCTGAACCCCTGTCACTATGGAAACGTTATGATAGAACCCTGATGATAGAACTCTTGTTGTATAACGCCAATCATAGAACTCGTCTTGTAGATGCCAGAAAGATGGAACATTCCTATCTTCATGCCTGTAAGGCAAAAAGTACAAGGGATCCTAGCACCAATCATCCTAAATCAATATTCCACTTTTCTGGGATTCCTGAGCCACCGAGGTGCGGCTCAGCATTGGCCTATGCCGATGGCTCCCTGCGGGCCGATCGGGAGATGGCCCTGAAAGCCGTGCAGCAGCTTCTTAGGCTGTGCTTTAGGAACCTTTTTTGTTTTCATATGTGGGTCCAGATGGCTTCATTACGGGGTGTCAGCTTCTTGGGTTTTCCTTCATGACTTTGAGGTTTTGCTATTTGCGGGTTTAGAGGGCTATTTTTTGAAGATGTGTATGTGATCTACATGGCTGTACAGGGTGTTATAAGGGAAGTGTTCGCACAAGGCCTTCTTGTTTGGTTGTTATTCCCAGGCTTCTTCTTGAGTTTTGCGCAGGCTGAAATTCGGGACATCCGTCAACCCTACTGTAGCACCCTCGACCCAAAAGCCAAAGCCCTAGCAAAAAGTAGCAAGCCGTACCATCGCCTAGACATATTAGTATACCCCGCCCTAAACCCTAAACCCATAAACCCTGAATTATCGAGGCCCTTAAGCCCGAAGCCCCAGACCCTGCTCGTTTTCTGAAGGCCCTTGAACCACAGATATTTTTGTAGAGCTCCTTAGGCCACAGATTCCTTATAGAGTTGGGCCCTGATACCACAGATCCTTGATACCCTAAGCCTAAACCCCAAACCCCTTCCTTGTGGAGCCCCTAAAGCTTAAACCCTTAACCCATTCCTTGTAGAGCCCCTGAATCCTAAACCCTAAACCCTAAACCCATTCCTTGTAGAGGTCCTAAACCCTAAACCCATCCCTAAACCCGAAACCCTAAACCCATTCCTTGTAGAGCTCCTAAACCCTAAACCCAATGTAGAGCCCCTCAAAAACTCAAAGCCCAAGGACGGGCTATGCCCTCGAGGCCTGGGGTGGCTGGTAAATCAGTGTCTGATTTCTGCAATGGGGAGGTTCGGGGTTCAGGGTTTAGGGGTTTAGGGTTTTAGGGTTCAGGGTTTGGGGTTTAGATGGGGCAGTGTTTAGGATGTAATGATATATCAGGCGTCGTTGATTGTTGTCCAGCTTTACAATGTCTGCGAGCTGTGATAGACCTAGGGAGGTCTTGTTCTTTAGAGTGGCCATGTTCCTAAACCCTAAACCGCTCAACCCTAA